ATCATCTGATTCATCTTCTTCCTTCAGTGATTCCTTAGCGTATTTCTCTGCTTCTTCCCTTACATCTTTTGGAACAATTTCATGTCTTCCTTTAGTTAATTCACCAACCCAGCTGAGCTCGAGTTCAAAAGCTTTATCCTTAACTTCATCATGTACTATGTAAATTATTTTTACAACTTCTTTAACAACATCACAGCAGGTCATTTCTTTCATCTGAAGCTTCTCTATTTCTGTCTTTGCAGCTTGCCGGGCTTTACCAATAGCACAGCCCCAATAACCATATGAAACACCTGAAGGGTCGATCACGTAGAGCTGTGCACCATCATTCACACTGTAAGACCCAAGCATGAAACTGCAGCCGAAGGGTCTGACGGCACTGTAGAGTACATAAGCATGTACGTACAGGGCCACTCGGTCTGCAAGATGTTTCAGTGGAATGTTATAGCCATAGTTAGATCTAAAGTTGGAAGCTTCTTCTCTTGCTATGTCTGCTAAAGACCGAGCATCTGCCAGCAAACCTGCTACTGCCATCCCAACATGCCGATCAACGTTAAAAAGTCGTTTGTTGGAACTTTCTTCATAAAGTTTAGAAAGAACTAATTTTTCTACCCCAAAGACAACACCGTCTTTGCATATGATCCCAATAGCTGTACTGTTCTTTAAAGTTGAATTGTATAAAACATGTCCACTGCTATGAGCCTTCTCATCTGCTTCCCAGTTCTACAGACTACTATTTTCCACAGCCTTCATAGCATATTCAACTTGAAAAACTCTTCCATCAGGAGAGAATGTAGAGGCTGATAGATCATACCCGGTTCCGATCGAGCTCATCTTGTCCAAACCACCGGAGCCCGTTGGGAGTCCAGGCCCAAAGCCACACCTATAATATTTAAATGACAATGGAATACCCTTCTCTGACAAAACTAAACAAAAAAATGGGATACAAATGAACAACCTTTTTTATCTGTATATTCAAAATAGTAAGGATAGATATACAGCTACATTCTCTTAATTTAATGAATAGAAAGATTCGTTCTAATAGTGTTTGTGGACAGGATATCATGTCTACATCTTGTACAATGAATAACCACTAAGGCAACAATATACAATGTATTAATTATTGAAACTGTCCTACTAATCGGCTTTGAAACTGTCTCATTGCTAGTTGTTTCTCAATAAAATTATTCAAAAAATAAAATAAAATTTCTTTTAAAAAATTTGAAATAGAGTTACTATAGATTAATCCAACCAGCAATATATAATTGAGTGCACTCATAATTTTGAAAAGATGGTTGTTTGTATGTACTGTGTATTTGTCTATATGTGTGTCATCTTATGAGCAGCTGTTCCCTTTTTTTTTTTTTTCCTTTTTGGTCATTTGTTGATACTACAATTTGGGGTATAGACATAAAAGCATGGTTTTTCTTAGGGTACCAGCTGGTCTAAGATATATCATAATTAGTTTATACATAGTTTATTGAAAAGTTTAATTTAATTAAGCAGAAATTCCTTAGAGTAGGGAAAGATTTGATTCACAGAGGAGATCTATTGATAAACAAGAGGTATGGCCAACCTTTTTGTTCATTAATGAGGCACTCCCAATAATCTCAATAGTCTCTTAGGAGACACCCTCAGTAAATTGGACATTGGTTTAAAGATAAAAGTCTGAGGGCCAGCCAAATAGCTCAGTGGATTAAAGCACCTGCAAGCAGGTGCAGGGGCTGGGGTTTGACCCCCCAGGCCTGCCGAGCTGGCCCCAACCCAGGGCACACTGAGATAGCAATTGAGACGGGGCGTGGTGGCACACACCTGTAATCCCAGCTCTTGGGAGGCTGTAAACAGGAGGATCACTATGAGTCTGACCTAGTAGTGAGACCTGGAACACCCACCCTGTAGACCCTTCCCTAAAATACCAAAAAAAAAAAAAAAAAGAAAAAAGAAAAAAAGTAAAAGTCTTTCAGAAAAATTACAATTGGGTTTTCTCTTAAAAAATGGTTTTGGTATACAACTAAATTAAGAAACAAAGGTTTGCACATTTGTATGGTAACTCATTATTGTTAATCTCATAGTGTCTTAAGTGTATCCATGATTCCAAGTGTACAGGTCTTCTAAAATGTTGAACAAAAATTGCTTAACATGATAAACTTTCTTTCAAATTCCTAGCAAAAATAAATAAATAAGGAGGAAGAAAGAAAAAGCCTTGTGATGTATGTTGCATTTAAGAATAATTAGGTGAAAATTCTGATGTATTAGATAAAGAAAATTGGTTAAAAGGGTTATGGTATATCAAAACGAAAATGTAAACATGCCACAAAATGCCATAGGATTGATTGGCTTGCTACAATGTTGTATATAGTTTGATTTCTAAATTTCTGTGTAAAAGTGTGTAATTATTTTTTTCACATTCTATAGGGATTTAAATTTTAGAATATCCATTGTTGTTTGAAAATAACAGTTTCATTTTATGTCTATGGTGTTTGATATTCAGATAGATAGTAATGTTAAGCTTAACTGCCTCTGTTACAGAGTAACAATGTCACTAAGCTTCTCGTCTGGATGTTTAACAACTAAAGTTTGCAAAGCAAAAATTAGAGAGATAGATGGGCTAAAAGGATTGCCAATATTTTGACCCTAACCCCTAAGGTCAGTGAGGACTCAGGACATAACAGAACCTCTACTGTCACATCCTGTAACTCAGTGGTGTCCCAAATTTTCTGATCAAGGAGATTATGGGGCCACAGAGGAAAGTTGATTGACAGTGTACAGTATGTCTAAGGAGAATCACCTAGAGAGAAAAAAACTCCCAGGCTTTCACAGAGAGCAAACTGATCAAGCAATGGCCATGACTCACCCAGATGGCTGACACTGACAGAAGATTTACAAGGTGCTGTACATGGTTCCAGGGTAAATCCTGAGGGGATTTTAATGACCCTGTCAGATAGCAAAAGTTACATTTTTAATTATATAGGTCTTGCTTTAACTTAGTCTTAACCATCAAGCAGAAAAATGTAACCATGAGATATAAAAGTAATGCCATATTAATATGCTATGCTGTAAAAGGCTCAAGTTAACAACTTCTGGCAATTACCTGCTGTGCTGATAACTCAGTACTATTATGGGCTATTGGACTATATAGGTTATACTGCTGAATTCAAGTACCTACAATCTTTGGACTGGCATCAAGTATGGAAAGGTCCTTTAAAGACTTCTCCAAATACAGCTTCTCTCACTGCAATGGAACACCCATCTCTGACAAAACAAAACAAAAAAGGGGGATATGTTGGGAGCTGAGGAAGCTCGGAAACTGATCAAATGTGTGTAAGTGGAACTAGGCCTCAGTGCCTAAAGCAAACACGCTACCTCAATCCTGAGATAAACATCCTATTTGGCTCTGAGATTCAGCTAGTAGTTACTAGGCAACCTTATGTCATGTGTCACTAACTTTGCAATAGTATAAGCAAAGGACCGTTTTGTTGTGCGCTGCTTTAGTCTTACGCATCAGGCAGACCAGCGACCACCTACCCAGTTTTTGTCTTCTTGTCTATGTTTCTCATTCCTGCCACTGTTTCTCCCCAGTAGAACCAATCACAGTGAGACCAACGGATCCCTACATCTTAGAATACATGAATAATTTTCAGCAAAGTGGCAAGATACAAATAGACACAGGAAGAGCAATAGCATCCCTGTACAAAACAATGACCCCTCAAGGAAGAAATTGGGAAAACAATCTCAATCACAGTAGCTTCAAAGAAAATTAAATACCTCAGAATTAACATAATTAATACACAATCTCTATAATGAAAACTACAGTATTCGGAAGAAACACATTGAACTGAACATCAGAAAATGGAAAGATATCCTCTGTTCTTGAATAGGCAGAACCAATATTGTCAAAATGTCCATACTGCCTGGCTCCACATGCCTTGCCAGTCCCTCCCCCAGAGTGCGCTGAGACAGCGATTGAGACTGGGCGCGGTGGTGTGCACCTGCAATCCCAGGGCTTGGGAGGCGGAAAACAGGAGGATCACTATGAGTTTGATCTATGTAGTGAGACCCTGTAGACTCTGTACTAAATACATAAAAAAACCTTATAAAAGTCCATATTATCAAAAATTATAAATTTAATGCAGTTGCAGTTGAAATGCCCTTAGCATTTTTCACAGAAGTTGAAACAAAATTCTAAAATTTTTATGGAACCAGAAAAGTCTCAGAATAGCGAAAGCAAGGAGGCATTGCAAAGCCAGACTTCAAGTTAGGTTATAAACTTACAGTAATGAAAACAGCACGGTTTTGGCACACGATAGGCATGTTCACCAACGGCCTGGTATGAAGGATGCAGAAACAAGTCCAAGCACCTTCAGCCATCTATTTTTGACAGAGGGGCCAGTAGCATACCCTGGAAAGAAGATAGTCTCCTTAAGGAAAGCTGCTGGGAAAACTGCTTATCCGTCTGCAGGGTAAATCTCAATCCATATATCTCACCCTGTACTAAAATCAAAATGAGTCAAAGACCTACATATAGAAACAAAAACAATGAATCTGGGGCTGGTGAGATGGCTCAGTGGTCTAAAGCACCTACTTAGAACAAGCTTAGCAAAGCACAAGGACCACGGTTCAATCCCCCAGCACCACATGCCAGCCAGCCCCGCCCCCTGGTGGGCTGAGCTGGCCACACACACACACACACACACACACACACACAAATAAATAAATAAAATTTAAAAAAAAAAAACAAAAACAATGAATCTACTGGAAGAAAATAATTGCTAAAACTCTTGAAGACATGGGCTTAAGCAAAGACTTCCTGAGTAGAACTCCAATTGTATAAGAAATAACATAAACAATCAAAAATATGACTATATCAAGTTAATAAAGGTTTTGTACAACAAAAGAAACAACTAGCAGAATGAAGAGAGAATGGAAAAAGAAGTGTTTGTGAGCTGCTCCTTGGAGAAAGGATGAATATCTAATATCTAGACTAATATCTAAAACATATAAAGAACTAAATAAGACTCCCCCTCTGCAAAAAATTAAAAGGTCCAATCATAAAATGGGCTGTTGAAATAAATAAATGCTTTTCAGAAGTACAAATGGCCTATAAGTACACAAAAAAATTTTCAGCCTCTTTGGCAGCTAGAGAAATGCAAATCAAAACAATCTTGAGAATCCATCTGGGGCCCGGGGAGATGGCTCAGTAGAATAAGAGCTTCCTTGGCAAGCGCAAGGGCCTGAGTTCAATCCCTGGTTCCGCCAAAAAAAAAAAAAAGAGAATCCATCTTACTCCAGGGAGAATGGCTATTATGAAGGATGCAAAAAACAACAGAGGCTGTGGAGGTTGTTAGGATAAAGGAATCTCTCTACGTTGTTCATGGGCATGTGCGCTGATACAGCGATGGCGAACAGAAACACCAAAACAACACCCAGGATTTGGAGGCAGATTTATTTACGTTCACAGGCACTGATTGGGCTCATCCCCGAATATCAGGCCCTGATCCCTCGTGTTCTAGGGCTTTCTAGGGCTTTTATATGATGCGCAAGCAGGAGGTACAAAGGAGTACAGAAGCCTGGCAGTCTCCTCATTAGCTAGCGGGGTGAGATCCTTGATTTCAGAGGTAGATTCATGATCATCAGTTTAGGAGGCCTGGTCCAGTCGTGCAAGCAGGCATCTGTGCATTTGGTTTCCCTCTTATGGTTACAGGGATCAAGAAAGTAGTTGCAAACACGTAACACAGTTACTGAGCTAGACAGTTTCAAAAGAACAAAGTGTTTTTTGTTTTTTTTCTTCCTGGCTTACCAAACGGATGATTTTATTGAGAGGACAAGACTGGTGTTTACCGCCAACCATCTAGGAAAACAAAGCA